CCAAGTTTGGGGGATATTATAGGGGTATTATATTATTTTATATTATACTAGCTGATCCCGTGCACTTCGTCGCCCTTTAAATGTATCAACTCAATATGTCTCAAACTTTGTTCAATTCATTATTCAATATTCGGTGTATGGTGTTCAACATTTATCTTATCTTTTCCGTTGCCCGGAATAAAAATTCTGAATCGCAGAAGTACATTACCTATCATGTAGGCAATCTACCTGCGGTAGATCGCGGACCCCGTGCTGTTTGTACGGAAGTGTATGATTTAACTCTAAAGTATCAAAGTTATACCAAGTTTATTTTGATATAATACGGTGGATTAATATTTTCTTCAATAGTCATTTAAGTTTTAGCACAGAATTTTGAGGTTTGATTTCACTTCTTTATTTACCACAATTTTAACAGGAACTTTCTTTATACTCTCTCTTGCACCTACTAAGCACAGAATTTTGACATTGATTTCAATTCTTTATTTACCTCAAAATTCAAGTACTCAAATCAATTTAAGTAAAGCACAGAAGACTTGTTTTACTTCTCCGAAGTTTTTTTTGGAGATTTCAGCTATTTTTCTGAAGCAAGACATTAATTCTATATTGATAATCTATTCTATAATTATATATTATTTCTCTTCTAATACTAATATGTGAGCATTTTTTGAATTGTTCGGCCATGGTCTTTTAATTAGTAGTTTATGCAGTACTTGCATAAAATACGAACTCCGCGAGACAGGAGAGAAAGATTAACATACGGCCGACCGTCGGTACGTTTATCACTGTTATTGTAATAATGTTTGCCGTACGGATAGTAATAAATAATAATCGAACGGACGGACAATATGGCTATACACAACCTGCAGCACGGCGGCTACAGTCGGGGCCACGGTTATCTACTCAGGTTGGAAGACGAGATAAGAATTGTGACCCCAAAACGGTGTTTTATGAACTATTAGCGCTAGTAGTCACAGGACTATAATAATAATTATATTATATTGTTATAGACGGGAACTTACAAAATATAAAACTTTTCGTCATGTAAAAATTTAAATATTGATTGTAAACAAAGTTATTGCGTAATTGTATAATTTTGGGAGAGTTAGTGGGGCAATCGCCCAGTAAAAATGTTGTTTTATACAGTTATTTATAACAGTAGTGGTGACTGTTGACTGTTGAGGTATAATGAACATTACAAATATTATAGTATTATAATATTATAGTATTGATTTTACTATTACTTGATTTTGATTTTTTTTTTGTAGTGGCTAAACAAGGATTGAGGATCAAAATACAAACAAAATACATTAATAATTACTCAACTAAAAAATGTCAATACCTTTATTTGAATAATTTTATTTAATTCATCTAAAAATCAATGCTAATAATTAGTTCCCAGAAATAAAATACATATATTAAACTATAATATTATAATTTCATCACACTGTTTCTAAAATATGTATTTAAAATTTAATTTTCCTATTATTTATAAACTTATTATAAACTTAATACATTTTCTTCTCCTTAGATATCTCTCAACTATACAGAGACAACATGTAAGTTTAGTTGTTATTTAAAGATATTTAAAATATTAAGACAAATCGACATATCATACACTCAAAAATATTATTCTCAATCGTTTTTGTAATAGGTTATTTTACTTGAAAAAAAAAATTGATTCTGCGTAAATGTGTATTGTCTATGTTGCGGATGAGCCAGAATGAGAAAACAGTGTGCCGACACCCTCTTAATTAATAAGTATGAAAATCAAAAATTGAACATGTTCATAGGGTATCTTTTCGCTTACTGATTAAAATACTAAATAGCTATTTTTTTATGTTAGCTTAATAATGAAATGACTTAGCTTTTAAAATTAACTAAAATTAAAGACCAGAGTTTATTTCTAATGCGGTTTCTTTCAACCTGTAACAGACAAAGGAATAATGAATAATAATGCATAATTGTTACTATAACTCATAAAAGTTAAATATTTTTAATATTGTAATATAATATATTGTTATATATAATAAAACAAATAATTTTAATATTACTGTCGTGTAACAAAAGACAATAGTCAAATGATAAAATTTTAAAATTTTAAATATGCAAAAATTTAAAAGCTTATACCAGCAAATAGTACATAATAATAGGTAGGTAATACTGTCGTACAATAGTCAAATATTATAACAAAATAAAAATAGATGCAAACATAAAGTTGAAAGTTATACTAGTATTTCTTTAATATAACATATTATTATTAAGTGTGATATAATTTTGATACTTTTTTTTTTCTCTTGAAAGTTTTTTAAGTTTGAGAGTTTCTTGGTAAGAATACTGTCTCATTCTCATCTGAATATAATACACTATTATTTCCGTAGGTTGTACTTAAATTGAATATTACTAGTCACATCAGTAATTACTTTTTAGATAAAAGTAATTGTTGATCATTGTACTGTTTTCTTTTTTCAGGCATTCTTAAAATATTTCCAAGTTTTTGACATCGTATACAACGTGTACTGTTTTTTGTTTAAAATGATATTGCAGTTCAAATGTTGAAGTTTTCCGAGAGTATTTACTACACATAATGAAGTAGGAGCTTTAGGAAAATTGTTCACTGATGGTGAAAACCTCCATGGCACACATTTGTATCTTCAAATTGTTTGATGTTATTTTCAAAATCATCTATAGTTTTGGCTGAAGTAATATTAAACTGTTGTGAATCAATCTTCTTACCAAGAATTCCAAAAGTGACATCACCAGTTTCTGCAACACTTATTGATTTTTCAATAACAGAAAATGATCTCCCATGCAGAAAACTGAAAAATTGAAATTGGGAATTGTATTCCCGGTCTTTACAGTAGTATTGGACCAGGAGCAATAAGTCTGCAAAGTACCATCAGTAGCCAAAATATTTATTTTGTCATATAAATTTTCAGTTTTTGTAGGTAAATCATCAAATATATTATCAGCGTCTTCATCGTAATTCATTTTAATTTCTTTTTTATTATTTAATGGACTCTGTCGTTCAGTTGGTGGTTTTCTTTTTGTAATTCGCTTAGATAGGTATGCAGGTCCAGGAAAAATTGAGGGAATGGCATTTTCTCTAAGCTTAGGTTTCTTGTATGGAACCTAAAAACAAATTAAGTAACAAATTACTTATATATTTATGATAGGTAAATTAAACTATATTATATTTAACTATAATCTTTCTAATACTGATATAATACCTATACCTAAATGTTAGTGATAAAAATTATTATCATTACTGAAAAATATTAAATTGAGCATTTTGAATTCAAATTTTTATCTTAAAAGAAAACGTAGGTATTATTAATTTTTAGTACAAAATTACTTACCTTAACAAGTAATGTAGATTCACTACCAGATTGCCAAAATCGAATAATATCATCTTCATTGAAATGTTTTTCACACACGTATGTGTTGTCATTGACAACGTAATCCTGTCGTGGAATAGCCCTTGCCCATTTATTTCGTACATTTAAATCTTTTGGAGCAGAAAATTTAAAAACTGTTTCTTTTTTGGTCATATCATATTTATATGTATAAATATACCTATGTATCGTATATATTATGTAAATTGTATATGTTCAGGAGTTTGTGATAATGATGTGTATATAATTGTTTGGATATAAATTATGTATATATGTAAACTATATTATAATAGGTATATTTGAGATACATTCCGGTGTATGCTTTAGCGAGATGTTTATTCGAATAATGTTTATAATCTGAAAATGGTATAATATTTTTAGATATGTGTTATGTTGTTACCTTATATTATATTATGAGCATGTATGTATGTATGATATAGTCGATACAAATGTACATCAGTATATTATACATTATTTTTTTAAAGGGCAAATAAAAGGGGAGGTAATGTATTTGATTAGGAAGGGGTAAAATATATGTCGGACAACTGTTCGATATAGTCGATAAAAATGTGCATTAGAAGATTATATATATTTTTTTTTAAGGGGTAAATAAAAGGGGAGGAATGTATTTGAAGGGGAAGGCATAAAATATATGTCGGTCAAGTGTCGGATCAGGTTGCGTGCAACGAGTTTATGTGTGTTGCGGGTTGCCTATATTGAGTAATTAATACAAGTTTGGGAGGTGCGTGTATTTCGAATTGCCTATACAGAGCAGCCTATGATTTTACATGTAAAATTTAAGCGGGGAGTGCTCCAGAACCTACATATTTGTCCTACTTGTATAGTATAATATTTTATACTTAATGATTATGATTCAAATTTTGTTTGACGTTGCTTAAAAAAATGCTTAAACAATCCTAACAAATAGAAATCATTCGGGGAACCCTTTATAAAGGTACCTTCGTATTTGTTTTGGTCAATTACACCACCCAGGCCAGATCCAAATACAGTATACGTTTCAATTTTCCTCAATGGTTGTTTTCTTTCTTTATTTGAAGGTTTACATGTGGGCTTAACACTGTTTCTTTTACTTTTCATCTGTTTAATATTTAAATACATATCAATACACAATTATATATAATTTTATTCAATAGACATGTCTGTAATTAATAATATTTATATTTAAATACCTTTATTTCAAAGTTACTACGAATATTTGCAAAGAAACTGCAACGTACCCTTTGAATAATTAATGACGGAAACTGAATGAAAATAATCATTTAATTTAATCTCAAAATATTTCGAGTTGTAAGAGAAATAAGTTCAAATATTTAAATATAATATTTGTAAATTGTAATACAAAATACGTTAGCATGTTGCGGTAATGATACGAAAATATTATACAAATTACAAAGTTGAATTTCATTAAAATGCATTTTACCTATCTTCTACCACTTCAATAATTTAGAGAGAATTATGTCCATTTAAACATTATAGAAAAATATAGATTTATGTGGCCAATTATTTGAAGTAACTCGATACAGGTGATTCAAAGTTAATAATTCTTAATATTGTCACTGAACTTACAGTTTGAGGTTTATTTTTTGACTATTCGGGCATCAACATTTTTAATTTCTTTAATAATTCTTTTCTATGATTAAAATTGGCCATGGCTATTTTTTGGCGATCTTCATTTTCTGCGTTTTTAACTTTTAGCTTATGCATTATTGTATCATTATGTACGCGGACTAAAAATCGTCTGTACTCATTGTATTCATTTAAGCTACAAATCACATCGTTGTCTTCAGTAATGAGTCTTTGATTTTGTAGAAGTTTTTGATTAATTGGTGAATTTACCCAGTGTTTTAAATGCGGATCGTGTAATGGGTTATATTTGTGTGATATTTCATACGGATCGTTTAACAAAAAACTTAATTTAGTATCTGCTTGCAAAGGATTCTTTCCCATAGGTCCTTTATGGAACACAATTGGACCAGACGGAGTGTTCCCGTGATACATTGGAATTTTTTCGTCCAATTTTCTGGATCCCCATGATGGAAGAGAGTTTTTTAGTGGCAGATAATTGGGTATTGGTACAGTATCTCTGAATTTTGATACGACTGTTGGACGACGGAGATTCAGCAATGTTGTTCGATCACAATTTTTAGAAGCTCTCCATTTTTGTTTGAATATTGGTAAAAGTTTTTCTTGTGTTCCGCATAACATAGTTATTGATTTCTAGTAAACTACACTTAATATGAAAATTTATTTGTTGAATTTACAGAATTTAGTTGCCATCTAAAAGTAATTGATAATACATTTTATTATAACAATATGTTAGATATATATTATAAATATTATATAATTTAAAATATTAGCTAGATAATAAAATTATTATTTCACCGGTAAAATAATCGTGGTCACTCAATGCTATTTGGTAACAGATTAGCGCTACATTTTTTCGACCTTTTTTATATAGGTACACTGTATTTATAAAATGTCCATCTGAGGATAATGATTTAAGGTTAGCAAAGAACGTTGTGCTTGTCATCAATACATCTTTCATAATTTTTCCAATTCAGAATTATCTATAGTAATGTGCTGTAAGATTCAAACGATTTACGTTTAAAATAATTTAATTTAATTATATCATTAACCCATCCATACAGTTTCAAGCCGATTAGCTAAATTTTTTTTATTTTGTAAAACAGTTTAAATTCTTAAAATAAATGTATTATTTAGTTTTAGATTTAATAATGGTAAATAATATTATAATGTTGTGATATACTATAATACCTTCAATATATAATGGTAGGTCACTGCAGCTAGTACTGTATAGTAAGTACCAACTATCATCGGAAGAAAATACTTAAATTCACACCATTTTTATGGGAACAAAATAAGTAGTAGTGATGTATAGATGTAATAATAAATCGTTTCTTTTTACTGCTGTCTGTGGTCTAACTATATCGAGGTGCTAAGTTTAATAAGTAAAATAAGTTTATACACTCAGTTACTCAAGGTTCTTTCAAAGATAAATCTTATTATTTATCTTATTTTATTTTCCTCCCGTAGAAAGTATTAAGTAATCTTCAACGAATATACTTAAAACATATTTAATATGATATCGGAGAAGAAAATCTAAGCTATATGAAATATTAATAACCATCGGAAAACATGGAAAATCGGAAAACAAGTAAAATATTATGATAGTTATGGAAATTTAACGCCACCGCTAGAATTACAGAAATATTTCAACGGTTGCAATATCGAATATAAGTACGAGAGACATCAGAAATATAACACAACAAACTGTGGTCATCTGTGCTTAAAATTTGTATCATGTACACTATAACGTTAACCGGTAACTCTAGCGAATTGTCATGTGACTTTTTTCCACCGATAGAAGTCAGTAAAAATGCAAAAATCTGTCTGTTAGGTTTTCAAACGAATAATTCTATTCCTAACGTAAACGAAAAGTGTAATAAAATATGCTTCACATACAGTAATGATAACAATATGAATAGCGACAGCTATGTAATACCTACCGGCTCTTATGAGTTGAATGAAATTGAAGCAGCTATAAAACGTGTATTGTATAATACAGATACTTTATTCGAGTTGAGAGCAGATAATAATACACTAAAATGTACAATGTTTTGTAGTGAAACTGTAGATTTTCGTATGACTAATAGACAATAGTATAGGACAGTTGTTGGGGTTCAAAAATCGTAAATATGCTGCTAATGTCAAACACGAATCAGATACGTTGGTCAATATTACCAAAACAAACTGTATATATATCGATTCAAATCTAGTTATGGGTTCATTCGTCAACGGTAAGCAGTGCCATACAGTCCACGAGTTCTATCCGAATGTTCCTCCAGGCTATAAAATAATAGAGGTACCAACACATTTGGTTTTTTACTCCATTAATTCTACATCTATAACACACGCAAGTATAATTTTAAAAAATCAGGACGACGAGTTGATCGATCTACGGGGCGAACCGGTATCAATACGATTATTAATTCAAGACTCGTGATGGGGCTTCAATTTTACAATATAAATAGGGCTGTATATGAAAAACCCGTTAGTCGTGTTAAAAACACTAACAAGGTAACAACTCCGAAGAAGAAAAAATATTCGAGACGAAAACAGACTAAACATAGTCTAACACCTGATAATTTGGCTTTTCTACGCTCGATTAACGTCATTTAATATGGACGACACATATTTAGACGTCACGGCTGGTTACATCGACGATTGTAAAATAACACAAATTGATTATCATTCTTTTTTACCGTATTCAACGTCAGCTCTTTCTAATAATGATGAGGTGCGTATTGCTTTACATAACACAGAGTCTTATACTTTACCGTGCGAGAGTTATATTTACATCGAGGGAACAATAACCAAACCTACAGAAATAACTGACGAGATTAGATTTATAAACAACGGACTGGCATTTCTTTTCTCCGAAATGAAATATGAAATAAACGGAAATCAAATTCAGAAACTCGTCAATCCGGGTATATCGACCACATTAATAGGATATTGCTCGTACAATAAAACAAATATTTCCTCACACCAAAACGCTGCCTGGGATAGTGATTTTAAAAACGTTAATAAAGATTTTATTGATAGCGGTAATTTTAACGGATGTATTAATCTTAAACATTTGTTTGGTTTTTGCGAAGATTATAAACGCATTTTAATAAACTGTAGCCAGCAACTCATATTAAATAGAGCTTCGATTGATATGAATGCCATCAAACAGTATAAAAATAATGAAGCTGTCGTAGACGCTCCTAAACTAAAAGACGCTAAAATAAACATAACAAAAATATTGTGGCGGATGCCTATAGTGAGAGTTAGCGTTAGAGAAAAAATTCGACTGTTGAAAGTAGTCAACAGTCAAAAACCCCTAACGTGTGCGTTTAGATCGTGGGAATTATGTGAATACCCATTTTTACCTCAAAACACTTCACATTCGTGGAAAGTAAAGACATCCAACAAGTTGGAAAAACCTCGATATGTTATAATCGGATTTCAAACTGATAGGAAAAATAGCACAAGTAAAGCAATGTCATATTTCGATCATTGTAAAATTAAAAACTTGAAAGTCTATTTAAACTCCGAAGTATTTCCATATGAAGATTTTCAAAGTGACTTTAACAAGAATAAGATGGCGACATTATACAGATAGAATCAAAGAATTAACTAATTAAATAATATTTTTATTGTAATAAATTAACATCAGAATTATATTGTGTATCTAATGCATAGTGTAGCAATTCTGGTTTGACTTTTAACGACACTTTATAGAATACGTCAATTTTTTCCTTTTTAACAATTATAAGGTTGTAATCCTTTAATATGCATGCTATCTTCACCACTTGTTTCCCACTTGGAATCTCACTGTCAGTAAAAAAAAAAAATAAAAATAACCATATTTTAAGTAGAATAATGAAACATTACCTTGCTTCCAAAAATCATTTTTCAGTTGCGTATACACCGAGTCAACAGACGTATAATCAATACTATTACTATTTGTAATAAGACTAAGTGCTCTTAGAAATTGTTTTTCATAAAAACCACAGCACCTGGAAAAAAAGTTTTTTTTACTAACATATCGTGATTTTTATTTTGGAAAATTTGAATTTTCTTTATGTGTGTAGCTGAACAGTTTTCCAAGACAGGTTAGTAGATTGCACAGTAGTTGTTTAAGGTAGAAGTTTAGTATAATAATTATATAAAAATATTGTTACACAGCAAGTAAAACTATATTATATATGATAGCTATTACACAGATATTTGAAATTATTGAGTATAATATCTGTTTCACATCATATGTTTCGAAATCATCTTCACCTGACCAAATCAATTTTTCGAGGAATCACTTCAGAGCCATTTTTCTGTTTAATTTTTAATATTGGTTTAGGTGTACACGGTTTTTTATATCCAAGTGGCGAATTAAATTGGATATTGAAATTTGTAGCTTTACCAATGAAAAACAAAAACTAAAACAAATAATTACTTTTTAAACATAATCAATATATTTTTTATTTAATTTTTTTTATTTTTATTTTATTCTTCAAGAAGATAATGGGCCCCACTAAAATTTTTTTATTGGTAGTACGTTTATGTCATTGTATAAATACTTTGTGTGGTATCTTGAGTCTTTTTTTAGGTTTGCCCTTCTTATGTGCCTTCTTAAACAGTGTAAGGTCACTGTTTCCGCATGAATAATTTGAGTGTGGTGTGCTGTTAATAATTCTGTTCTAAATTCTCGGAAGAATTCCAGTGTTTGCAGTGTCAGTTGAACTGAGCGTGGTAGAGGTGGTATGTTTATACTTATTTTTTATATTTTTTATTTCTACGTGTATGTTTTAAATATTTGTTTCTTCTTCTTAATTTCTGAAATAGTTAAAAGTTATTTGTTATATAATTGTTACATTTTGTGATTATTTATAGAATATTATTTTACGTATTATTTCTGTTATGCACGTAATAATGTTTTATTTTATTATTTATTTTCATTTATCTTTATTATTTTAAATTATATTATAATTATTCGTTTTCCTCTTGTTATTTCCTGAAACACAACTATTATTATTATATAGGTATAAACATGATTTAAAGAAGCTACTGCAGACTCTACCGAACGACAAAACGGATTCATCGTTGGGAGTCGACGAACTCTTATATTATATTGAAATGAATAAAAATTCGAGAATTGATATTGTCCAACAAACGTCTACAAGTCAACCTTTACAAACAGAATTGAATAGTTCAAAATTACAGTTTTACCCAGAGAAATCAGAAATTCAAAAATATTTATATAATCATTATCCTTAAAAAAATATATTTTTTTATTTACATGTCAATAGAATGTATGCTTACTTTCAGGTCCATTACATCCACGGACTAAGTTGGAGTGGACTGTTCTGAATTTATTTTCTTACAAAATGATGCCTGTCAAAAGTCAAAAGTTCTCAAGTTTATTCGTACTTGCTGCGGTAATGCGCTTCCTGGTGCCATCCATTATGATTGTTAACCTCCTCAGTACATTCACAGGATAGCACACTACCTACACTTTACAGGGACGTATTTTTTATAGCTGTAGGGGTTATGGTTTTCTTTTTAAGAATGTTCCAAAATTTTGATATAATATAATACATTTGCCGCATGATGCCGGACAAAGCCAAAAGTTCTCAACGGGG